GCTACTGCTTTTCTTGCCAGGGCATGGACAGCCTCTGTTGCAAAGTAATGAGCTGCTGCGGAGTGTGCGACATCCAGCGCAGTCCTCCCTAGATCATCTTGCACCGTCCGGTCCACGCGCGAATGGCCCAGGAGCAACTCACAGGTACCCCGCTCCCCATTGCCAGCTGCAAGATGCAATGGCGTGTCGCCGGCATCGTCGCGGGCGTTGGGGTCCACTGCATCACATGCCAGGAGCAGCGAGAGGGCACTTAATTTGCCGAGGGCAGCTGCGTAGTGCAGCAAAGTCCTGCCCATGATGTCCGGTGTTTGGAGAGTTTCTGGCTGGGCATATTGGAAGACACTGCAAAAGCTTGCCTCGTCAATGCTCACCATGCGGACCAGCAAGGACTGTGCGGCCTCTATCTCATCAGTCTCCTGCAGCTCCTGTAACCTGGCAACAGCCTCATGCATGTGCGGGATCTGCTTTGTGATGCGCCCCGGGGGCCGCTGCGGGAGGCAGTCCATGGAGGCGCGATCTTTGTGGCACAGCTGGTGCAGAGGAAGATGACAGCTGCAAAGCCAAAGCTGCAGGCACGTCAAGAATATTCTGAGATCCAAGTTTGCACTGTAATCTTCCGTCGAAAATTTGCCAACGACATGACTATGCATTCCGCGTATCCTTTCGCCATTTCTACCTGGCATGGCCTGCGGATGCTTGAAGGGAAAGTCATTGCTTCTTGGTGTGGCATTTTGAACTGAAGCAGTTGCATCTACTCCTCTCCTGAGCTTGCCCGAAATGCAAAAGTTTGTTCAACAGCCTTGGGGCCTGCAGCAGCCATACACTATACAAATGACGGTATCATGCAGATCTTTGAGATTTCGTCAGCTCAACTAGCTGGGAACTCAGGCAAGTAGCTTCCTACAGCTCCTGCTGTGACCAAAGTATTGCTGCCTGGCAGACTTCCAGAAATTCCAAGAAGAGTCAACATGGAAGAAGTGGAACCTTCAAAATACGACATGCAGAAAAA